ATGATTTAACAAAACACTCACGATGGGCAAAAGTCACTCTGTATAAGGTAAAGTACACTTTCTTTAGACTGAATAGAATAATGAAATCAAAATGAAACATGGGAAACAACCTTATAATAAGATAGAAGCCTTCGCTTATCAAGGAAAATATCAGCTCGTGAAACAGCATTGCTATGTCATACACCATTTAATTTTTTTAGGTCTAATCCAACTGTTGATAAATACCAAAGGTATGTTTATCATATTATTCAAATAATACAACTTCAACTTAGATAAACTTATTTCTAATAGTAATACAAATTTACACACTTAAAATGTCCATATAAACCACGAAGGAGACGTAAACTCCCGCTATTTTAATCCATTTGTAAGATGCCATAATATCCTCTTACCTATTTCGTTTATATTTTCATTTTTACGTAATCAGAAAATTATTATATAAAGATTAATCAAATAATATGTATGGTGGCCTATTTCCCGATAACCGTGGCTTTTCACCCGGCAACATGACACAACATTGGGAAATGCCTCCGTTTTCGAAGCTCCGTATCAACAACACTCTAGAAGATTCATTTGATGGCGGGTATTGTTCCAAAGCTCTAATCATCAATAATATCACAGTGACCCTGCCAGGAGTATTTACGCAGTGGTAAGAAGCAATCTTATTGGATAAAGATTGGTTTCTAATGACGCTTTTTCGCCAGTCTGCTATAAGGATCCTGATTGGTAAAAAACATGCTCGTAAGCCACTCATATTAGAGCAATGGATACCGTCCTCATATACGAAAACCTTTAGACAAAAGTTTTGGGTACAATAATGCTATTCTGAACGTGTTAAGCAACAAATCGCCATATATACGTAAATTATGGAACTTATTGGACGTATCGTGCCAGGTGGCGACCTGTGACAAATATTCTTTATGCAAATGTTTTCTCACTAAACATCGTGTCCGAGCATGAAGATCAAGGTGACGAAAGCCGAGATGTCACTTGACTTACATAACATGATCGCACGAAAAGATGGAAATAGTAACTTAGATGTACGTTTGACAACTTTTATGAAAACTGTTGATTTTATTCATTACTTTATTCAATTTTAATGATTTCCTCGAAACGTCCATACTTTGCTCTTCGACAATTTCAAAGTGGACCCGATGCCAATTATTTCGAAAGACTTCTGCCCAATCCCCACCCACCACCACCCATATTACCTGAATATGCATATATATATTTTTCCTCACCATTAACATTTAGGGGGTATATGGGCGGAAGTCTTATGTACGGTGTTGAATGGGTTAAACTTGAACAAATAAATCTTTGGCGGTATACTGGCACGTCACAAACGTATCGCGATACGTTATTGTAACTATTTCATATTGCGGTTTACCGGTATACCGTAATACCGTGCAGTCCTACTTCAAACACTTCTAAAACAAGGCAAGTTCAACATTGCTGCGTTTTGCACAGAAGCTGTTTACAATCACACAAACATGATGTTTTGGAAAGAAATGGTATATTTGTATTGTTTTACCGCAGCTACAGGAGTCAATATTGTCAAAATCACCTATGCGTTACTCCTTGCTTAGAGTATTTTCACTGCTTTAAGTTTCTTTCAAAACTTGAAATTGTACAAATTAAATGGAGAAGATTCAAGGGTACCCCTTATTAACTCTATCAAATGTGGTGTGGTATGATTTTGGGCAAAAACACCTCTCTCGAAGAACGGTGTCAGGCCGGGAAAGCCACACTTAAAAACGACTATAGCCGGGAAGGCCACATTTCAATTACATGGCTGTAGCCGGTAAAGCCACATTTCAATAGATTACCACCTCTACCGCCAGAGACACAAGACCGTGCCCCGCCTTCCTGCCAGCAGACCAGATCCAGTTGGAGGAGAAGTACTCTCACACAGAAGGTGGGGACCAGTTTCTGCACCGTGCTAGTGACGACGTCCTTATTTTCACTACTGACAAGAACTTTGAACACTTGTGTGCTTTAGGGCTGCGCAATATAACCGGTTTACCGGTATATACCGGTTCAGAAATGAAACCGATACGTATTGCGATACGTTGATCGAAAACCGGTATTTTGACATGCATTCGGAAAACTTCGTAACACTCGGAAATCTTCGGATATTTCCGTTTTTCACACAGGAAGTCATGCGTTTGTTGTAAAATCTCGACCCCCAACAACGAACAATACTAATTGTGGTGCCAAATACTAGGGCAAAGCTTCAGTATGGCAGCATTTTTGGTTGAAAAAATTCCCGGTAGATGGAACTATTGATAAGAGGAACGCGGTAATTAGAGTATGCAATGGTAAAGTAAATTGAAAGTTTCTATTAAAGCTTAATCAAGCATAGTGATTTTGTTGTGTTTTGGCTTTATAAATGAAGCATTAGCTTCTTGCAATATATGGTAATACATATCTCAATGTATGCTTTCGCATCGCAATATATCGCAATATGACAAATCTCTGCAATACCCACCCCTACTGTGCTGCAGATATTGTGTTTTGTGATGGAACATTGTATGCCTGTCCAAAATTGTTTGATCAGATTTATTGTATACATTAAGAGGTGTTTGGTCATATGTTTCCATTAGTTTATTGCTTGCTGTCCAATAGAAGGAGTGCTGTGTTAGCATGTTTCAGTACTTGTGTGATGTTGCTCGTAGGCAAGTTTTACAGTTTTCCATTTTCAATCCAGTTGGAATTTGATCGGGCAGCTCACCAAGCCGTGAGAAATGTGTTTCCTGGGACATCTGTTGGAGGGTGTGTTTTTTTCCATTTCACCCAGTGTATCTGGGGGGAGGGTGCAGAAGGAAGGATTGGTGATGGACTAAAGGAAAATGAGGAAGCTAGTGAGAAGAGCTGCTTCCCTCCCTCTAGTACCTCGTGATAAGGTGGACGATGTATGGCGTGATGCCATTGCTGACTCTCCTGCCGTCCCCAAAGTAACTGCATTAATGGATTATGTGACAACCAACTGGGTTCAGGGCCAGGCCTTCAGATCAGAGGTTTGGAATCACTTCGAGACCATGACCACCGTACCAGCAATAGCCTAGCAGGATGGCACAATAAGGTAAAGAGACTTGTCCAGAAGTGCCACCCTGACATTTGCGAGATAGTAAAGCTCTTTCAGCGTGAGCAGTCTCTCACAGAGGTTGCTGTCCTGAGACGATCTGACCAGTGGACAGCACCTTCACGAAGAAAGAAATAAAGAACCATTGACGCTCATATTGCATCACTGAAGACCAAGCTTCGGAACCAACACCTGAGTGACATGGAGTATACGGACCATGTGGGTGACCTCTTCCATCTGCAGTAGGGGGTGTAAAAAAAAGAATGTTTGTAAATAATGTTTTGTGATCTTACGCCATTGTATCTGTTTGTACACATGAAAACAAACTAAACCATTATTACTAGTATGTTTTACAGATTAAGATTTATTATTAATATTATGTCATAATAGTATATGTAATATACCTATTAGCATATTATATTGTGCTAATTATAGAAATAAAACCTGTTGTGTTCTGAATAAAATTATGAGGAAACATGTCTTGTTTTGTTCACCCGTTTGAATCACTAAGCATGTGTTAACAGCATAGCCGAGGAGCCACATTCCATGTTCGCGCATCCTTAACTATTGCCGGGAGAACCACATCAATTTTGGCTATCTGTATCGGAAATGTGGCTCTCCCGGTCTGTAACCCAAAGAACAAAAGCTGTCAAGAATTCTATACCAATTGTTATAAAATGAAATGAAACATACAACTTTATGGATGACAACTTCTTATTTATTGCATAGAGCGACGTTTCGATGTAGATTCTTACATCGTTATCAAGCTAAAAGTGATTACAACCAGATGTAGAGGAGCATATATACACAGTATGTTTTGACAACAGCAGATTAACATTAACAACAACATGTAATTGATATACACCAGTCAGGGAGACATGATAAGAAAAAAAACCAACAACATGTAATTGAATAACAACTGGTACATAATTATAAGAGGCCAGTGGGAGACTAAGAACAACAAATGAGACTGGGAACAAAGCCAATAAACAATGGAGATTAAGTTGTAATAACAAGCTGATTGGATGCTTTATAGAGTCTACAGTTTGATTAGTTCTTCATAGGCCGATGGTATGTAGTATCCTTGGTCTCTGTTGATCAATGGTTTGTGGCGGCGGATTTCGATGGCTTCCAAGAGTTTTCTTTTTGTGAAGTCCTGATTCTTGGTTGATAGGATTTCAAATTTGTCAAACTTGATTTGATGGATAGGGAATTTCTGTTGGTGATCGGAGAGGGCTGATTTTCTGTCTGATTTTGCTGTTGAGGTTTTATGTTCTTTAATGCGGACATCAACGGGACGCGGAGTTTCAGCAATATAGGAGTCACCACATTCACAATTAATCTTGTAGATCACTCCTTTGGGGGCTGCTTTTGGAGGGTAGGTTGCGGCCACTGGCTAGGAGGATGGTCCTGAGGGTTGCAGAGCCATTGAAGATGGTGTCCATGCCTGCTTGGTTCTTTAGTAGTCTGCTGATTTTGATGGGAGGTCTTGCCGATGTAGGGTAGGAGTGATTCTGATGGGGGCGGATTCAGGCTTGGTCAGTTTGGGTTTGGCATGGAGGGTGGTGGATGGTCCTCTTGACTAAGTTGTTGGGATACTGGTTGAGGCTCGTGAAGACATGGTGCAGGTGGTTCAGCTCATGTCCTGGTCACGGCTGCTGAAGCAAATGTACTTGGCACGCTTGTAAAGTTGTATGTTTCATTTTGAGTCACCAACTTCTAGAATGCCCATCAAACAGTTATAAAATGAAGCCTGTTATGGATCTCCAGTTGCCTGTAATAAATGATTGATTAAAAGATTTGTATTATCCTTTTGTATACCCACTATCTTATAAAAAAATATATGAGGCTGACGTGAACGTACCCAAATACTGAGTTATGTGATTATTATCAACTCGGCATGTAATGCGGGGATGCCTCGTCCGTCTGTCGGTCCCGTATTCATTTTGTTTCCAGAGCATAACTAAAAAAAATTCAATATTTTTCAACAAAAATTGGTATATATATCAAACAGAATCTAAAGTGGTGCCCTTTGCTAATTACAGATTTTAGGTCATTTTATTTTTCAGGATTTCCATGGAAACAATATGGACTTTGTCTCAAAAAAGGGTGGATTTGGTTTCCGGAGCACAACTCGACAACTTTTCAATACCTTTCAACAAAACGTAGCAGATATATGAGACACATCCCAAAGTGGTGCCTTTGCTATTTGCAGAATTTTGGCATTTTATTTTTCCCGGTTGCCATGGAAACGATTCGGACTTAGTCTTAAAACGGAGAGATGGGGTTCGTTTCCGGAGCACAACTCGAAAACCGTTCAATATCTTTCTACAAGACTTGGCCGATACATGAATCAGATCTTGAACATAAATATATTTACTAATAAGTGGTTGTGAATTTGGGTTCGAGAGTATTCAATACGGATTAACTTGGGCCCGTGCAGTAAGTCACGTGATGAGTGTGCCATAAAAGGGTATTTTGGTCACTGGACCTCCCATGTACGAGGTCACTGGACTTATCTTAAGATTCACGAAAGCTAGCGTTGTAAAAAAATAAAAATATCAGCTAAAAGATGATATGTGATTCAAGGCAATTACAATAATTTATCATCAATGTCGGAATATCAAACAAAACGTTTTCCAGGCTGACGGAAACGTACCCAAATACAGCGTTGTGTGATTATTTGTAAATGTTTTCTGATATGTTGGGTTTACAAATTAGAACATAAAACGTCTATTATCTCCATGTTACATGATAATTCAAACATGGCAGAGATACCACTTACCACTCATCATCAGGTATGATGTTTGCGATGAATTGCATTACATTTTTCTCTGCCCTTTCTTGAGACGTCATCGAAATACATATATCCCAATCCACTATATTAAAAACCCAGTGTGTTAATATTTAATTAATTGTTTACTGGAACGACTAAGTGTTATAAAAAAATCTATGTATATCCTGTAATACTATCATGAAAAGTGCACGATCTTCCATATAAGCCATATGTATTTATAACTGCACATTTGTTGCTCTTATGCTGAATATCCCGGTCTGTGCGTAATAAAAATTCTCTTCTGAGAATTGTTCCTCTCAAATTGTTTTTAGTTGCTTTGATTAATGTCTTGTTGCCTCGACTATTTTCTTGATGCTTTGAGTACTTTTCTCGTTACTTCGGTTAATTTCAAGTGGCTTTGAGTATGTTCTGGTTGATTCAAGTGTCTTTCAAAAACTTGAAGTTTCGAGTCTTTACTCTTGGCTAAGACTGACTGACTGAGTATGGTTTTACGCCGTTTTAGCAATATTCCAGCAATATCACGGCGGTCCACCAGAAATGGTCTTGGCTAAGAGTATGTTCTCATTGCTTCAATTATTTTCTCGTTGCTTCGAGTATTTTCTCGTTGTTCAGATTAATTTTGTTCAGTTGGTCCTGGATGCTGGTATTCAGTAAGCGGTTAGAAAGAGTAATCAGGGTTTACTTTCAGTTTGGTCTATCTATGATGAGATTTTATGTTTCGTTGCTCTTAAGGATCATACAGTTATCTTCAAAAGAACTCTTTGCAGAATATTGAAAGGAATGGATTTGAAATGAAAACCAACATATTGAATGGTTCTGGGGTATTCTACGGAAACCAGCGGCACAATATTGGATGAATTTGTTTAAATCAAAGGACACACACTTTTGTGGTGATCAGTTAGATAGGAATCTAATGCAGCACAGCTTTATGGAGCTAATACAGGTATGACAAATCAAGATAAAATTAATTAAACAGCCGATCATAAGAAATGTTATAATTTGTGTTAATTTCCTTTGTTAATCGTTCTGGTGTGGTTAGCCGTGCTTAGAGAGTCCTGTCCCCCTAAACCGATAACCGCTGTGGGGTTTTTTCGGACACGACGTCAACAACCCTTTTCAGTTTGAGGCATATCGGCTCATTCCACGCCACACGTTATCTTGCAGATTACGGAATGGAACGAGTGTGCCAAATGGCATCGGATCCATTCGGCAATTGTCCGTAGATTAAAATCACGAGACACCAAGTCTATCCGTAACCTTCGTAATCGTCCGTGACCTATTCGACTCTTTCCGTTCATTTCCGTGACGTCACAGGAATGACTCGATAAATTTGCACATTGTGCAACAGTGTGGACGTAGCTCAGTCGGTTAGCTGTCGAACTAACAATCCGAAGGTCGCGGGTTCGCGTCCGACGGGTTCTCACAAACTGGTTGCTTGTCTTAATGACACGTGACCTACGGCAGAGATCGTCCTCACGAGACGTAGTGGTGCTAGATTCTAAAGGTGCTCCAAATATTATTTGGGATGGAGGAACTCTTACCCATTATTCTCCTATGTCACATCACATCAAGTATAGAATAAATGCACATAAATTTAGAACTGAATATATTGCCCCAGCAAGTCTGTCAAGTCACAATTGTCATAAGTGACAAATGATAAATTGTTATCACAGAAGATAAATACACTAATAAGAAATAATCATCATGATGAAACATTCAGCCTTCAACGTTCTCTGTTCAAGTGTTCTCCTGAGTGGGATCCTTTCAAAATCTAGTGAGGTGGACTTGCATGTCTGTCGTATTCCCACTGTATCCGATCAATGTCTTACAATATGACATATTGTCTTTTCACGACTCATTTTGTCGTTGGTCATCCTCATAGTAGACTGGGAAACAGAAATGTTTCCACACATTAGACTTGAATTTACTCCCAGTGGGAGTCTCGAAATCTGTAGTTGAGAAATCCATGCACAACACTTCGATTCACTTTCGTTTTGTGACCCCGCATCAAAGCATTACTTTACCGGCAACGTACGCGCTCGCTGATTGGTCCATCAAAATAGTCTAGCCAATCACAAAAGCTGTTAGTTTCCAACCTATTTTTTAAAGTAAAACTAGCTACATCTATTTATCGGAGCGGTCTCGTATAATTTTACTATCAAGACTTTGAAGGAGATGGATATAGCATAAACACTTGAATCGATAAAGTTTTAAAATAGGATTCGATACACACAAGCATGTATCGCGTATCGTATCGTCAGTAAAAATGTATCGATGCATCGATACATTCGCGTATCGCGACACCCCTAGTGTGTGTGTGTGTGTGTGTGTGTGTGTGTGTGTGTGTGTGTGTGTGTGTGTGCGTGCGTGCGTTCGTGCGTGCATGCATGCATGCATATGAATCAGAATTTCTGCTTGGGTTGGCAAAATCAATACAAGGTAATTGCCCAAGACGTTTAGCTTAAGCATTTGGTACATCGATGATCTAATATCGATCAATAACCATCAAATGGCCAATTGCCTGCCACTGATTTACCCACCTGAACTTGAAATCAAGGACAGAAGATAGACCGCCTCAACTGTTTGACATTTAGGTGTGTGCATAAAGATTCAGACTGACCACAAATTCTCCCCAATTGACAAAAGGGATGATTTCAACTTTCCAATAGTCAACTTCCCTACCATGTCGTGCAATTCCAACAGTTTCAGCCTTTGGTGTTTACAACTTTGGTGTTTTCAACTCAGGACATGTTTGGTCAAGGTTACAACATTCAACGCCTCAGTAAAGCTTTCAAGAAGTTTTATGGTAGACACGTGGAGGAAATTTCCAAATTTGATGCATCAGTGACACAAAATAATGTCCGATGCAGTTCCCAATTTTGACTTTATACACCAGTTTACTGCACTCAAAAACAACACCCTAAGCATGCTCATAACATTACATTCCTACCTTCGTCAGTGGATCAGTGAGTGAGTGAGTTAATATTTAACGTCACATCGGCAATATTTCAGCCATATCGTGACGAGAACATTTGACATTTTAAATAGAATATATATACAGATATTATAAAAACCTGCCGACGAAGGACAGTAAAACAACTAGAATATCACAGATATACATGTAAAACTAGTAATTAAATCTAAAACATTTTAACTTTAGGGGACAGCACAATATAAAAATAGGCAATAGATCGCCAACAACTGAAGGTAGAGCACCATACTAGGGACCATGGGGACTTACATTACTTTTGCTACCTGCATGGACCCTAGCTGGATTTACACCATCCCTTCAGCTGCTGGCGATTGGAAGAAATGTTAGCCAAAATTAAAAGAACAAGAATACTACGTTTAAAAATCCTGGCAAGTTTAAATTGACTTTGAAAGTTTTGGGACTTAGTCAGTGGATCAGTCTGCACGCAATGCTCATTCTCTGTTCCACTTCGGAGAATACCGCCCATGCATGGTTTGTAATCACATTAGCAAGCAAAGATATGGATGGACGATTAACATGCGTTAATGCACTATGAAATGTTAATGGGCGTTTAACTTGTGGCCATTTAATAAACTTTAAATGCCAGTAATTCCAGTTCAAAGTGCTGTGGACAATTACGAATCCTGCTACCTTCCAAAACATTTGTGTACAATTAAGGCAAATGTCTAAGCTATTAATTATTGCTACGTTGACCTACACTGAGGAAATGTCCATCGCGTACACGGGCGATGAGAGAGAGAGAGAGAGAGAGAGAGAGAGAGGAATGTTGATGCGATATATGGCCTAACGCGACACTAGATATAGAATCATATTTTGAAAATCATATATCAATGGTTGGTTTAAAGAAAGAAAAAAGTTAAGAAATTCTCTAAACACAATACAGTGCACCCACACTCAGACGAACGTTCGCGCACACGCACATATGCACTAAATTACTTAGTATACTCAATCATACACACGTACGCACGCACACACAAACCACCTGAGTCCTGTACTATCTCAGGGTTAAAGATCTCGATAGCAAATGTGTCGGATTGACTGATAGTTTTAGAGAATATTACTTTTATTGCCGAACGGTGTATTCAAAATTTCGACACAGATACTTTCTCCGTTCGGCTTGTGCAGATAATAATACAGGTTACGCTTGTGTCCACTTCTTCTTATTTGTTTAATTCCACGTGTCCATGTAAGTCGTTACTCAGAAGATACTCTGTTTATGACTTGATTAAAAGGTGTTGTGCCAACACCACTCAGTCACTTAGGTTCCTGGACAAACACTTTGTACATTAAATGCGTACCAACCTGATGTATATTGAAACCTTTGACGTTCGTGCATTTGGACGTTTGCTTTGCAAATAAAATGCTGTCATAGTTGACAGGTCAGCTCACACCGGTCAGTTGATAGTTGGTTTGTTGTTGAACGACGCACTCAGCAATATTCCAGCTATATGGCGGCGGCCTGTAATTAATCGATTCTGGACCAGATTATCCAGTGATCAACTGCATGAGCATCGATCTACGCAATTGAGATACGATGACATGTGTCAAGCAATTCAGCAAGCCTGGCCATCAAATGTCCATGTTCAATCAGTGAAAAATCATGCTCTACGTGTCAGTTTGGAACAAACATTCAGCAATGTTGTCAGTGAAAGAGGCTGCCCTTGTGAGTGCAATGAGAACTATGTTTTACATTGTGAAACGAAGTATTGGATTATGCAATTATCCTATTGCATGCTTGCAATGCAAGAAGAAAATGGTGTGGATCTTGATGACTTGGAAGTCGGAGGTAATGCCACAAATACGTCGATGGCAACTGCAACGGATTTTGTGGATACATTTGTTGATGTAATTTCAACAAGAAAATGGTGAAACAATTGCTACAAGTGATTTTGTAACCATTACTTATTGGCGAAAGTACAGACATTTGTGTTGAGAAAATAATTGGTCATTTATTATTACAAAACATTCTTTCTAGGTAATCTGAAATTAAGTGACATGGGTGTGACAGCAGAAGTTTTGTTCGATGAACTTACGTCCTCTCTGCAGACCAGCGGAATATCATGGTCAAGAGTAACTGGCTGGGGATCTGATGGAGCTTCACTCATGACCGGGAAAAGGTCAGGTGTTGCAACACAAATGAAGGCAGTCTTTCTGCATACCTGTACATTGCATTGCCCATGGCCAGAGGCTAACCCTCACCACTTCCAAAGCTGCAGATGCTGCGAAGTACATGAAGGAGACTTTCCAGAAATTACTCACAGACTTGTAACATTTCTTCTACAGCTAGGACTGAGGAGCTGAAAAGCACACAGACAATTTTGGATTCTCCTTTGGTGACAATGAAGGAGGTGCGTGAAATTCGATGGATATCATTTTATAACTCCATCAGTGCAGTGTACAAATCACTTGGGACACTTGTCACCTATTCACGAAACACAGAAAGGACAGTTCCAGGACGGAGGCTCTCTACTTGAGGTTGACAGACTTCACCTCCATAGCTACACTCTACATGATGATGGACATCATTCCAGAACTAGCAGCCCTCAGCATGGTGTTCCAAAAGGAAGACCTAGATATTGCAGCAGTGCATCTAGTCATTAAATAGTGTCTAAACAGCAAAGTGGGACAAGAGTTACTACCAACAGCTTCTTAATGTGTCTCACACTGAGGTGAAGGATGGTTAAATGACAGTGAATGGAATCAGTCTATCAAACAGCACTGAGGGGAAAACTGTTAAGGCTGCCAAAGAGGTGTTTGTAAAGATTAGAGATGATTCTCTGTGCAAGTTGGTTGAGCAGTTAAAAAAGAGGTTTCTTCAACAGCATCATCATGTGAAATTATTGAGAAGATATTTGTTTCCTAATACTGTTAATAGAATTATAAAATAGGTGTTTATGGGAGGCAACGCTTGTAGTTATCTCCCCTGGTGTAGCAAACGACCTCCTTTTTTGACATGGCAGATTTGACAGCAGAAGAGAAAGCTGGTTCTATTGTGAAAGGGGTGTGACAAAAGAGTACAGTATACAGAAAATCGAAGAATATTCTCTCAGGAGTTGGCATTGAGCACAAGAAGGGACAGGAAGGCCAAGTTCAGTACTACGGATCTCCAGCGACTTGGTCAGATTGTGAGTAGGGGAAAATTTAAAGGCGTTGAGAATATCAGAAATGAGATGATTAATAGAGGAAGTCCTCACTGATGAAAGATGCACAAAAGAGAGCCGCTTAAACTGGTGTAGGGCTCACGAAAATCAAGATTTGGATAATGTTATTTTTTCTGATGAATTAAACTTCTGTCTTTTCTGAACTGTGTGAACATTTGGAACAAAAAATATACCGTGAAGCCTATCTAGTAACGCCCAAAACATAGCCCGAAATTTCATATTTGGGGTGGGATATCATCACGTGGAGTGACGCCGATGTGTTTTTTTCACGGGAAATTTAACGAAGGAACGATATGTTAAATGGTCACCTCCTTCCAACGGCCCGGACACTGTATGAAGATAATTTGATTTTCCAGCATGATAACGACCTAAAACACACTGCGGGCTACACAAAACAATGGTTGTTGGACGAAAATGTTCAAGTTTTAGACTGGTCAAGCTAGAGCCTAGATCTTAGCCCTATATAGGATGTGTGGGGGTTAATGATGAAGGACAGAATAAACCAAGAAGGACTTAGAAATATTGAGGATATGAAGAAAGAAGTGGTCGAATATTGGGATAAGCTGTCACACGATTTCCTAAAAACCACTTATCGGAGTGTACCTAGGGGCATTCAGTCGTGTATTGTAGGGCAATATCTAAAAAATTAACGCAATATGTAAAATCCAGTTTTAGGTTTGAATATTAGGGGTGTCAATCGAAATCCATTTTTTTCACAAATTTGGCAAAAAATGACTTTTTTACAAAAACTAAGATATCGCAATGTTTCTTACAAATTAAACTTCATATTACATTTTTTTACAAACTGTTACCTCGTTCAGTATACATATAAGCATAGTCGATAAACATATTATTTACTTGTTTATAGAGATATTTTAATCGAACTTATAGTCCATTTTCGAAACTTTTAAAGGAATAATTTTATTCTTCAAACTTGTTTTTATAAATGGTATTTGGGGTTATATTCATTATAGTCCATGGGCTGATATAGGTGACCCTCCCCTCCTGGGGGAATTTTGAAGACTATATTATTTTGAAAGCTTATCATATGTACATTCAAATTCAAGGTGTTTGCAGGCTGGGTGCGGGGGATTTTTCTCGCAGTGACCCCCCAAAGGGGGTCAGGGTGGGAAAAATTTGGGAAAATTAGTTTGGTGGCTGAAAGGGGAGTAAATGCTCTGAAATGTCAATGGACGATAGGCAACATCCTTCCACAAGGGTTGACAGACAAAATATCCAGCAAGAACTTAGATTTGAGTAGAATGGAGGATTCAGACGAAGTTGAGATTGAAAGTCTTTTGGGCACAATCTATGATGATTCGGCATAAAGGTATATAAATATAAGTAATGGTAACTCAATGTTATAAAATGCCAAAGTGAGAATAAACCACCATGCTTTATGTATAGCTGTAACATTAATTTTGATCATTTTAGAGCAATTGAAGAAATAATACGTTCTTTAACCAACTGCCAACTAGACAGTGTAGAAAAACAGCATTCAAGTCTGTTTTTCCACTTAGACACAATGCATTTTCAAATTTAAAGTCTTCCTGTGCCTCTAACTAAATAATAAATGTTAGATATTTTCATTGTTCCTGATAAAGGGCAGGCAGTTATTAGAATGTATTTTGTGAAAAAAAAAAACTCATTTTTCAAATTTTTAACCCCTGGCCCCCTCTTGGGGTCAGGGCATGAAATAATCAACACAGACTACAATAAACCATCTCAAAGTCTTTCCATGCTTTAAGTATAGCTGTAACATTAATTTTGATCATTTTAGAGCTATTGAAACAAGAATACCTTCTTAAAACAATTGCCCACTAGAAAGTGTAGAAAAACAGCTATAAAGTTTAATTTTTCCCTTAGACGCAATGCATTTTTCAAAGTAAGTGTTTTCCTGTACCTATAACTTATCAATAAATTTTAAATATTTTTATAGTTCCTCATAGAAAGCAGTTATTAGAATGTATTTTGTGTGAAAAAGCAAAACTAATTTTCCAAATTTTCCCACCTGACCCCCTTTGAAGTCACTGCGGAAAAATCCTCACCCAGCCTGCAAACTCCTTGAATTTGAATGTACATATGATAAGCTTTCAAAAATAGTCTTCAAAATTGCCACAAGGGTGGGGAGGGTCACCTATATCAGCCCATGGACTATTATGTCTTATTCAAGAAGGTTTGACCTTTCCTTCAAACTGTCCATTCCGTTATTGATAATCTGTGATTACCGAATTTGGTTTTAAAGAAAGAAACACTTATTGATCCTTCTTAATTTGGTTTGAAATAACATGCATGTTGTAGTAATGTATCCAATTTTAATTCATTGTGTATGGGGGTTTGAATTAATTGCAATTGGTACTTGGCATCAAGGTGGTAGCTCTGACGATTGGACTTCGGACCTAGCAACTGATCTAGGAGAGAGCGCCAATAGTTATGATTTGACTATGTACATGAACGATCGGCGGTTTAAGGGAATACTATTTCTAAATCAAAGATATTTCTGTCCAGCGACACATTTATACTTAAACAGTAATTTTCTCATTTTGGAGTAATATAATATTTGTAAATACATCATCATAAATATGATATTTTCTCTAAAATTCATTAAAAGTGTTTCTGAAAAATAAATCCCAAGTCTCTCGTAATTCCTATGATGGCTCAAACCTTTTTATCAAGATTTGTTGCATTTCATTTGTGTATTTTTAGGTGAGATTAAAATACACACTACCAGGAAAAGTAACTAATACATTATTCCATAAAGGAAAATGTTTTGGTATTAATTCACCACTAAATAGGACAGATCTGAAAACAAAACTGGTCTCTCAACACAAACAATGAAAAAAAAAACAAAATACAAAAAACATCGACATGTATCTGCGCAGAATTGCAAGTTGAACTTTGGTTACCGTGCCCAATGCGGAGGGTAATTTTATGTCCCCAACTTTGCGCTACATGCACGTTGGGGGGTAAAAGGCCAAAAGGTAAAACCTCCTTGAATAGGACATAATGAATACAACCCATATGACCATTTATGTAAAAATACTATGAAGAATAAAATGTTTTCCTTGGATAGTGCCGAATATAGATTATGATATGAACTATCGCTTTATACATGTATATTAACAATTATCGGCTTTACTTTGATGTTAAACGACCTAAAAAAGATCAGATATCAATTAAGTTAGAAATGAGGTTAATTTTGTCAGAAATATTGCAATAGCTTAGTTATTTTAAGAAAAAACCCAATAAAAGTAAAGTTTCTAAAAAATGAATTTCAGTCGCCAAACAATAAACAACAATATAGCTGTATTTTACAGATCCGTTAATCTTTACAAATTGCGTTATTTCCTTTTTTTGTACATTTTGCGTTAGGTGTTTACACATTGCGTGAGAGACATTTTTTATATTTGGCGTTAATTGTTTACATATTGCGTTAGTTTTTACATATTGTCTTGATTTTACATATTGGGGTTGTACAGGGCCCCTTCAGAGACCTTTTTAGGTCGTAGCTTTTCCCCGACGGAAATAGAAGATACATCATTGTCGGGTTTGAGTGAGTATGGAGCCACTTTGAATGTTTGCTCACATCGGCAGTATTTATTCGCCATAAACGTGACTATAACAAGTTTAACAATCATAACACATGAACTCAACATATAAACCCAGAACAAGGACAGTAAAAACAACTAAATTTCATTGATTCATATGTATGTATGTATGTATGTATGTATGTATGTATGTATGTATGTATGTATGTATGTATGTATGTATGTATGTATGTATGTATGTATGTATGTATGTATGTATATATATATGTGTGTGTATTGTAAAAACGAGTATGTAAATTGAAAACTATAAAACTATACAAACAATACAATATAATACAAGCTATAGGTGAGGTGAAATTGGGTTTAACGTCGTGCTTGAGAATATTTCGCTCAAATGACGACGTGCATGCGTGTATGTGTATGTGCGGCTGCTTGTACTAGCCCTGACAGAAGCTGGCTGATAGTGCTAGCCCACTGAGATACCATGCCGCAGTGAAGCATGAATACTCCACTCAGACACATTATACTGACTCCGAGCCGACCAGTGCTTGTTATACCCATTAATGCCGAGCGCCAGGCAGGAACCAACAAGTACCCTATTTTAACGTCTTTTGGTATGACGCGGTCGGGGATGGAACCAGCGACCTTCCGCTCTCCGGGCGGACGCTCTAACCACTACACCACGGAGGCGGTCTACAAGCTATAGATCGCCAACAACTGAAGGTAGACCATGGGGACTTACGGTAGGTTTTCTTCCTGCATGAACCCCAGATGGATTTACACTATCGCTTCAGTCGTTATTGAATGCTATTTACCCTGTTACAAAACATATTTATCAATGGTTTCAAAACAATACTATTTCTGTTAAAACTCAATAACCAAATTAAAACTGACATCTTTTAGAAGTTTCCTGGCTGTTTCTCATTGAAATATGCAACCCATGTGATGGAAAAATCAGCACAATCGAGCAGAACATGCTTAGCCGTGATTCCTTCATCAAAGGAGATACAAACGGGGGATCCTCACCTTTTTACCAATTATTTGTTGCGTATATCGGGAATGTCAATGCGACATCGTGACATAATGACCTCTTCAAACCTGGACTGACAACTCAAGTTAGTGTAACTGATAGTTTGTTTAATTTAATGTAATAATTGATACCTACCTGGGTGTCCCACTTCTTATTCCTTTCCACCAACCCTTTTGTCGTGAGATTAGTCTCTTCACAATTCTATTGTTACCGCCAGGACCTCACTTTGACAGCGCTGGAAATGTCATTTTCTTTACTTATGACAGATACCATATTTTATGGTCTCTGCTTATGATTAAATGTTTGCTTGTTCCGCTTTACAAATTCAAATGCAGACACGGTCAATATATTGCAGGAAAGATGTGTGTCTTCTCACCACACCAGGTGTTGTATTGTCCTCCAACGTTGTGGAGTAGCTTTTCCCGATCCATATCTTTAATCCATATCGCGAGTCACACCCTGCTTATCATGTTCAACCTTCCTTAAACTCTCAGTCGCTGCCATCTGGCATGTGTCGCTTTATGCGACATTTCCTTTAATCCTTGGTCATTATTGTCACATATTTCATACTGTGATGGGTTTCAACAACCCATTAACGGTTTTGTCATTTGCCAGCGTTATAAATGACCACATAATAGTATAAATTTTTAAGAGATAGTATCAATGCACCATGTTCCAAAGTTATAGTAATATACTAAAAGGAAAAAAATAACTCTGCATAACGAAAAAATTGCATAAAAATAAAAGGTATTTGAAAAGTTATAAAAGAAACCTGAATAAACATGTAGCAAAGCATTTTGCATGCAATTTGATGTTGCGTGGCTAGTGCAATTTGTGCACAATTAACTTACTCTCTTTTGCATGCTTTCTGACATTTGAAATTCACACACCTGATGTTGAAAATTGAAGAACCGTTGTGGAAAATACCTTAATTTCAGGCCTAGGCAGCGCGTTTGTAATGGCGCGGCTCACAGAAAATCTGCGTCTCGGCGACGTGGTGGGTATGCTGGAGACCGGAATGACTCAAAGTGGCGAGACATTTTGGTGTCTCTATGGAGACGTTGTCAACATAATGGGAACACGAGGAGATTTGCCTCGGACCGGCGGTACATGTGCGACGTCACGTCAGCCAAGACCAGCATATTCGGCCGACCCATCTAAGAAATCGATTCCAGACTCCTGGTTTGATTGCTCGGACCGATTCTTGACTTATATTCCAATCAGTTCCGGGACTATGCGGAGACCGACTGAGGGAGTACAACTTGACAGCCCCGAATGTAATTTGTTTTGTTGATGCGTGCGTTGTTCAACGTCGACAGTTTGATAGCGATAGCGTTATGGTATGGGTAAGCATCGCTTCTCATTGTCAGACGAAACTTCTTGTCATTGTCGATGACAATCTGACAGGTCTGCATCGATACGGGGATGGATCATTGGGGAATCATGTGCAGCCGTTCATTCAGGACAGAGACGTAACTTCTCGCTTCAAGTAGCAAGAAAAATTCAAATCCACATGTCGTTCGTGTTTTGACAGATTTGAAGAGACAACCAGAACATTCAGGTACTCCTGGACGGCACCTTTTTTTCTGACCTGTCCCCTCACTGGGCAACGCTTGGGATGAAATGAAGCGACGTTTAGGTCAATCCCAGAACCAACCTATTGACGTTAGCTGAATTACTGGGACAAAACGTTGGTTCAGACAAAGGAACAACATTCCCCAAGCTTGAGTGTCGTCTATGCGCCGTCATTTTGGTAAGTACTGCATCAACGCCAGTGGTAGGGACACGTCACACAAAAACTGAATGTGTCGAACTGACTTTCATCAGCGGGTCACGATGCCTTGTGTCAAATCCTTTTGAATGTTGATATTATCCAGTCAACGAAGTTAACTAGTGCGATTAAGGAAAACATCCTGGAAATCCTGTTATTATCTTAATTGCATTACAAAATCCAAACATCAAATAATGCACGAATCACTTTTATTCCAGTAGTATGTATTTCTTTGTCAAATGTTTTAACATTACATATCATCATGTTTTCTCGTTCATAAATGCTCAATCCACAGGGAGAATGCATTAAGCCATATATTGCAACGGTATTATGTTACCTTTCTCAACCTTGTAATCATACCCTCACTCCTCGACTCTCTTTGGCTACCTTTGACGGACTAGGTAAGTGCAGAGTCCGAGCTTGCATGCCCCAGGACAGCATGGCCAGGCAATATGAGTAGGTAACTGTTGTAGGAGCCGACTGACGCTTGAGAACGGAGTTACACGACAATAAGATGATCACAGATATTTCCACTACATGAAACATTGTGTTTTATATCCACGACACCTTTATCATCACCTTCCATATATAGACTCATTAAGAGTAATGAAGTAAAGCAGAATAGTGTTTCTGGTAAGTTGACATGTTTGTAAACAGATTGCCAGTTCAGTCTGTAATGAAAACACGGTACGTGGATGCACAGGTGAAGGAGGAATAGTGGTTAGTGGTATAGGACACCAAGGTTGGTTCCAGTTTCAAACACAATTTCTGGTTTCGTTCACTGCATAGTCCAACACTCCTGGCTGGAGGTTGCCATTGTGAGCCACTACATGGAAACTGGAAATGGTTAAAATGAAACGAAATCGCGTATGTACAAAAGTTAAGTAAGCAACAGAAACAGATTATGTACCGTCTTGGGGATCAAAGGCTTTCTGACAAGTAAACGAAAAGATCGCCTCCGGGTATGTTCGCAAGAGCTACATGTTGTAATTGCACCATTGTTATCCTGACAGCGGGTTCCTCATTTTGTTTTGGGTTTTATTGCGTAAATGTAAGCAAGAGTAACTCAAAGCTGAATGCGTTATGCCTTATTTATTAAATGTAGTTTGCGTATTTTAAACTCAAATATGCAGTTTATCTTGGAGGTCAAGAGAAGTACGTGTGTATAAATATAGTAACATTCGTGTTCAGATGCTCTCCGATCCCTGTCTTCAAGTGCTCCCTGCATTTACATGGATGGTTAGGAATCTGTTATGGAAGAGATATCACTGAAGCGCATATCAGAGCTGTTATGATGCATGCGTATGCTCGTTGTAGCAAAGCGTTTCTTGGTGGCCTTTGCGTGTTTATGGCGTCACGCACTTATCGTAAAATCAACAAGGGTGTGTGGGATTGGTTGAGGTGTTTGGACGTTTCATCAGTAAAGATAACAATTTTCCTCAGCACGCCATTGTATGTAAGGTTTGCTTCGGTGAAATGTGGAAATATCGTTCTTGGAAGCTAATGGGGATATATTAGGTCTGGCGAGGGCTGGTGCATCCGGTATCATTTTTCTGGTGACAAGCGTATATTCATGGCCTTCAGAGATGCTTGCCATACAAACGGTGTTTCATGTCATGAAGCAAAAGTTAAGGTTCTGTACCATCTCAGACGTCTTTCTATTTCTTACTCAGCTGTGGTTTTCCTCCTCCTATGCATGTTGTCAAACTCTTCCAGAGTTTCTGCTCGTTGCCCAGGCGATCGATCGGTTGGTTGGATGATGATCAGATCATTCTGGAACAAGCTTTTCTGTACTTTCTATTTACGCATCAGTATCCGAAACACAAACAGATGTGCCACTGACTGGCACTTAGAACCAGACAGTAATGCAAAGAGCTCGGTGCGCCTGACAAAGAAACGAAAGAAACGGCTGAGAAGGGGCCGGGGCCTCCAAAGGCTTGGAAGTGCAGCTTCTTCTCCTCAGCCCCTGCTACGGTTCAAAATCGATTTGAACCTTTAGACATGGGGAGAGTCAGCCCTCAGGTCTCTACTCCAAAGAGAGTAGGCGATCATCACGTTCACCTCAGTTACACCACCATGAACGGTTATCAGCAAAGTAATCAATTAAGAACTGCATAGGACTTTGAACAATTTTAGCAATTTACGAATTATTATCACAAGATCTGAAACCATCGGCGGTACACTTACAGGAAACATATACTTAAAAAAGGACAGATCAACTGAAAAATCAGACAATATGATTCTTATCATCTCCTTTCACCTCCATGTTCTCTAAGGCCACTGGAGGTATTATCAATATTGGTGAAACAAGGCATAATTCACAGTCGGTACTCTCTCAATACCCCTCTTCAAGCTGTGGCATGCATATTGTTTTCTACGTGTTCTCTTTACATTCCTCCATCCTATTCTCTTCAACAAAATGAACTTCAGACGCTCTTTGACCAGCTTCAAAGCCTTGTATTATAATGGGCGATCTGAACGCACATAATCCCTCTTTAGGGAAGTATACGCATACAAACGATAGGGGAAAAGAATTTCTGTCCGCCAATGATTTGGCGTATTTTTGAATGATACTTCTAACAATATATTTACATTCTGGTACCAGCACATACTCTTCACTTTGATTTTGTCAATTGCAGAACCAACTCTGCTTGATTAATTTGAATGGTCAGTTCATGATGACCTCTGTGGTGAAGTGATCATTTCCCTACCATCATCTACAACCAACCCTGTAAACCCATCTGATGTTGCTCCATCGTCACGATGGAACTCTTTACAAAGCAAAGCAAATTCGGTCTTCCATACGAAGCTTATTGTGTGAGACAAACTTCAACCACAACATTTTTTATTGGTGTTCCCGGATCCTATGAAATGTTTTCTCGATGAAATAACCACTATAGCTGATGAGTGTATTCCGAAGTCCTCTGTGGTTCCCCACATGCGTAAACCATGGTTCAGCAACGACTGCAAACAAGCTTAGGAAGGCAAGGTAAAGGGGCGGAAGAGTGTTTCCGTCGCCATCCTATGGTCCATAATTTCCATAAATTCAAGATCGTGGAAATGCTAGGCTGCGGCGTACTTATTTTAAAATAGAAGTGAAGTATGATCTTGGCAGGTGTGTATCTGGAGATCAGTTAAAATTTGCCGATGTTGAGGGTATGGAATATGATCCGGAAAGGCAGGGGCTAGGGTTCTGCGTCGAGCGTTTACCATGTTTGAGGACGTTGACCGGGCTGGTGGGCGAGGATAGTCGGGATGATTTCCGCTGTAACAAACTTGGTGAGAGCTTTTGTTAAACATTCTTCCTTCTTCAAATTATGAGACCTCAGTTCCGAAAATATCCGAAACAGCAGGGGGACAGAGCTGTGTGAATTTCAGTTCAGAAGATGGGGAAGATTACGACAGATTGTTTTCTGTTCGCCCAGGCTTCCTTGCGCCCTTGGAGCTAGCTCATGATGCTGCTACAGGTTCTTGATAGCATCCATTATCGGCTCCTGAAACACTTTACCAGAGCCGTGCTTTGGAAACTATTCTATTCATGTTTGATGACATCTGGACGCTCACACCATCATGGCGTGAGAGCAGTTGTTGTTCCCATGCCAAGATTACCAGTTAGGGATCATACTTCATCCTTCGAGATTACAGAGCCCTTGT